GTACTACTGTTTCATGAGAAACTATTTGTTCTGTAAGCCTTCACCTGAAGTACAATAAAATATAAAAAAAAAAAAAACTCTATAAGCAGAACGAATTCTGTGTGTAGTTTCCAGATGATAATTTTAAATATTTATGTTAATGTAACTAATTTAGATACAATATTTTGGTACACTATGTTGGTTCTGACTATATTACATAAAATATTACCTCAGGAAAAGTAAATAGATATAATTAAAAATAATTCATCTTTACATATTAAACAACAAAGAATTTTTTTTTTATTTTTCTTTTACACTTCCTTTTCTTTGTTTTATTCTTATCCATGTTTCTACAAATACATGAAATGCAACCTTATGAATTATACAAAAGCCCAATAGTACACTATTTAATTATGTCTTACAAGCATAATAAAAGTGCAAATTAGCATTTTACAAAATAATGTGTTAAAATAAGTATATAGAAATAACTTACTTTTAAAAAAAACCAAGAGATTAGAAAATACAATTTTTTAAAGAAAATTCCAGATAAACAGATATCAAGATTTCGATAGTGTTCTTGTCATACCCATTATTGTTACATACAAAAAATATTTGACTGTTTCTCATGACAAAAATGTAACAGTAGTTTCATTTTGACACACTGTCACTGGGATAATAGAAACCCTAGTGGCACAGTGGTGAAGTGCTCGGCTGCTAACTGAAAGGTCCGCAGTTTGAACCCACCAGTTGCTCCGGGGGAGAAAGATGTGACTGTCTGCTTCTATGAAGATTACAGCCTTGGAAACCCTATGGGGCAGTTCTACTCTGTCCTACAGGGTGGCTATGAGTCAGAATCAACTAGACATCACTGAGTTTGGTTAGGTTTTGGTAAACAGACTAGCACAATAATTCAATTTGTTTATTCCCAAGAATAATTCTGAGTTTATTTATATTTGGAAACAAGACCTGAGTTCTGACTTTAGTTTGCAACTCCTCTAAATCGTTTAACTTCTGTGTTTCCAGTACCACATCCTCATCAGGATTGCCACTATGTAAGCCACACCTCCTTAACTGCTCTCCCTGCTTGAATTCGGCAACAGAGCAGCTCTTACCTCCCAGTTTCCAAATGCTTTCTAATGCAACGACTCCTTACAACTTCCATCTAAAATGCATGGTCCTTCCCTGTCCATGTCAGGCTCATTTACGTACCTTGGCTCATTACCAAAACCAATTAAAAAAGTACATAGAAAGTACTGGGTATTATATTAAAAAGTATATTAAAAAATCAATATCTATTTTTTCTCTCATAACATGGATATTTAGTAGGTACCAGAAGAAGTTGGTAACATAAAAACAACCAATTTGCCTTCAAGTTAAGATTTTTAATACAGAAAACGTAAGAGTCAATATGAAAATGGCTTTTGAGGAAATTCTCGTCGCCTTTTTTTACCTCTCTAAATGTAGCCCAACTCATGTATTACCACCGTTAAAGGCTCTCTGCTGTTCTAGGCTAACCCGGCTCCCTTCTCTGGCCCTCTTAAGTACCTATTTCCTAGGTCCCCGAAAATAATTTTAATATCAGAAGCTTGTTCTTATTCTGAACCCTGTATTCAAAACAGCTCTCAGCATATCTGCTCTGTTTGAAGGTGGCGTAAAAGGAAGGTAGACAATGGCAATCACGTCTTTCCCTTCCGCCCACGCTCACAGGGGGAGACACCAACCTAAAACCCCTGAGTTACATCTCACTTCCCCACTGTCTGGAGCCCTGGTGGCACAGTGGTTAAGAGCTCAGCTGCTGACCAAAAGGTCAGCAGTTCGGATCCACCAGCTGCTCCTTGGAAACCCTATGGGGCAGTTCTACTCTGTCCTATAGGTCACTATGAGTCGGAATCAACTCCACGGCAACAGGTTTTCCCCATTAACTAAAGATCTCTTCATGAGACAGTAGCTGTTTATGACTGAGGTTATATCTTACACTTTTAAAAATAGTTCCTACATTAGGATGATAGGCAAAGTGTTGAATTTATACCAGGGCCCAGGGGAAGATCTTTAAATTACTTGTAAAGGAATGTGAATCACACTTTTTTTTTTTTTTTTTGTCCTGAATTAATAAGAAACTCTCCATCCAGTCTGAGAATCTAAGCAGACGAACTCCCCGAGGAACGGAGTTCCGCCTTGAGTTGGTATGGTTTGGGCTTCGTGGCTAACCCGTATGTGGGCGTCAGGTCGAGCTGGACTCCGCGGCATTGCTGCAGCTTGAGCTGTTGCAGAACAGCGGTGAGGAGAATGAATATCTCATTGCGCGCAACATCTTCTCCAAGACACTTCCGGATTCCCATTCCAAATATCAAAACTTTCTCAACAAGACTTTTATTCAGTTCTCCGTTTTTGTTTAGGAATCCCTCAGGTTGAAATAAACTGGGATCATCCCAAATAGTTCTGTATCAAACAACAAAAATAACGTTTTAAAAAGAAATTATTTTATCATTTTCCCATTGTTAGCAAGTTCTCCATAATAATTTTGCGGTAAATGTTTTGTTCAGTGTGGGACTATCCTTTATAAATTATACACACACGCACAAAAATAATTATTATGGAGACCTAATTATACATATAATTATCATGTATGTATATATATATTCGTGCATCATTCTTTCCTTTAATATAATGATGGATTTAGTTACTATGAAGATTTAGCATATTCGTTACTTTATTTTCACTAAAATGACTTGTAATTCATTAGGTAATAAAAAACGGAAAAAAAAAAAACAAAACAACCCATTGCCATGGAGTCGATTCTGACTCACAGGGACCCTGTAGGACAGAGTAGAACTGCCCCATAGGGTTTCCAAGGAGCAGCTGCTGGATTCGAACTGCCAACCTTTTAGTTAACAGCCAAATGCATTAGTTAATAAAAGACCTGAGAATTTATTTAAAATTTTAATTATTTTAAATTAAGAGTTCCACAAAATTTGTATAAGAATATTCCTTACTTTCGCTGCCTGAGGCACCTTCATCTCTACCCTCCATTTTATGTTTGATAAAGGTGAGCTTCTAGCTACATTATATTCAACTAACATTTATTGAGTGCCTACTATGTGCCAGACACTAATCTAGTAGCTGGGGTAGAGGAAAAAACAAATTAAATAAATAAATAAATAAACAGACAAAAAAATTTATGCTTGGTGGCCTCCCTTCCGTTAGGATTTCAGACTCCATTTCAAATATCAGCAGGCCATACCCAAGCAGAGGGTGATCCCATAAAGTCTTCAGCGGACACCTACGCCATTGAACACACTTCTGAAATTGGATTTTCCTGAACGAATCTGTATTGAGATTGCCCTTCCCATTACAGGTGAAGAGGGAGAACTGAACTTCTTTCAAACTTTTTTTTCAAGAGAAACAGAAGTTAATGAAGTTTGGTTAAGAAGTGTATAAATCTTTCCCAGACTGATAAATAGTAAACAAACAACCAGACAGTCTTTCCCCAGAAATCATCATAGTGACTTACTCATCATGGTTTACTTGGTACATGTTAATAAAGGTACAAGTTTTCTTGGGAATGAAATAGCCTTTCAGAGAAGTGTCCACTGTAGTACTGGGAAGGAAAAATACAGCATTACAGCACATTCTGAAAATTCAAATATGCCATCCCTTAACTTCCTCCTACAATTCACAGATTATTTTTTACTATAAGGACATGAAACCCTTATAAATCTGTATTCTTTTATTAACTGAAACATCTTTTCACCTATTATCAAATTAATGATTTATTATATATATGGCACACTTATTATATGCAAGGCATTGCTATGAGCTAAAATCTTAACAGAAAATTCTCTCAGTATTTCTATGACAGAGTTGATCATGAGCAGGCAGATGATTACATCAAGATAAAAAGGCATTATTAAGCACTTTCTTGTACTAAATGTGCTTCTGGCTTTTATTAATAGATTAGAAAATCAAAACATAGCATCTTTTAGTACTTGGTGGAAGGAATAATGGATTTAGAACTATGAACTCTAAACTCTAGAAGCTTCTGTGAATGATGTGTTGGGCACATCTCTTACTTACTCTGTGATTTTTTTTTCCTAACTATGTAATGGAGGGGTTGGTTGTATGGGAAGATCTCTAAGTTACCTCTAGAATGAACATTCTTTTCTCTAGTCCTAGTCTCAGTCTTCTATCTAGAAACCTTCCCCTTTCACAACACTATAATTATGCATGAGAGGGATTCAATCATGCAATTGTATCCACGTGCATTTCCCACCTCACTAGATGGACCCCACACTCACTTCTCCCCAGAGGAGAAGCAGTGATGTTTTTATTTGCATTTGAGAGAAGGCACTGGCATATTTGGCTTAGCCATTCCTGAGCTCTCTTCACACCAGTCAGCCTGCAGAGAAGGTACATCTCATCTGTAAACAACCATGGGATGAGCTTAGAGGAGCACGTCCATCTTTCCAGAGCAAGCCTGTTATTGTCCAATCCTGCCAGAGACTGAGTGATGAAAATATGTCTAATTCAGGTGAGAAGTTTTGGTAAGCCTATTTGGTCCAGGTTTAAGCCCAGTCCTGAAAACTAGCTCTGATAATTAAGAAAGCTAATATTTTGACCTCTATTTCATCTATGTCCATCTCTCAACTGGTACTGAACTTTGGCGAATAATATGGGCATTATATATTGGGTGGCCTCAACACCCAAGAAGAGGGAAGGCCAAATGAGTAACGGACCTATTTTTCTGAAAGAATTACCTCCTTCTACGTACAGCATCACCTCCTTCGATGTACAGACACTTGTCTATCTTGACGCATTCCTCTGTGGATTCAGCTCCTCAGATGTGTTTCCAGAGCCCCAAATATGTGTTTCCTTTCATCCTAAGTAATGCACATAAACTTGGCAGGACTTCTCTGTTCCTGACTGCTTAGTAAAGAAGTAGGTCATGCTCTTTTAAGGCGTACCCAAGGTCTCCTTATGAAAGTCTTGGAACAGAAGAGTTGCTTCTTAAAACTTAAGTTAAAGACCAAATGTACTTCAACCAGAAAGAAGATCTGACACAGCAGCTAGAAGGAAGGGGTCACTGTGAATTGATAGGCATGGTTTGTCAATAAGGAGAGCAAACTAAATACAGGAGTCTCTCTCACTCACTGTCTGACCTTCACTGTGCTCAGCTGGTAGTTGATCCCATTGGCAGCTGGTCAGCCGAGGGCGCTACATATTTCTGTGGCCAACTACAGAACAATTACATCAGCTTTCTAGGAAAAGATACATTTCCGCTCCTTCACTACTTAAAGGTGAGAAGAAAAAAGGTACTGAGAATTGTATTCTCTGTTTGAATTGTGTGAAATAAAAATAGTTCAAACTACCAGAAATTTTGTTCTCTATGTACATATTTAATAAAACCCATCTATTTAATCTATACTGGCATGCATTTGTGTGCTGGAGATTCCAGCATGAGGTTCAGTAAATTTTAAAATATCTATAAATGGATTTTCTCTTTAATCTATTTGTGGCAACCTTGAGTTCCTCAGTCTACTGTCCAGAAAAACTTGAGGCTGCTGAAAATGAAGCCACATCAGCAGGAGGCTGAGGCTGTCCATAGGAGGAGATTAGTGTGTTTGTATGATATCTCATGGTCAAATGTATATTTTAGTTGGATTATACATTGCTTGGAATTTCCATATCCTTCTTCGCCCCTAATAGTGCATATAACATGAAAGTTAATGGCATCATATTTGGGTTATGAAAAAAAGCCTGAAAAATACACTGTTGCTCTACTCAAAAATTTCATTGCAGGAGCACAAAATAAAATCAAATCAGATCTAAAGTAATATTAAAATAACATAGGTGCTAAGGCACTTAATATTCCAATGAATCCCAAGATTCCTCATCTCCCTTCTCAACCATAACTTGCTTTTTTGAAGAGAATTATATGCTCACCAATGAGGAATAGTGAAAGCAAAAAAGGAGACATGTCTGAATATTTCATTTATGAAAGCTTCTGTGTAGGGTAAGATTTTCCTGTCTTCAAATCTGGGTGATTTTAGTCCAATGTTTCCATCTGGAAGAAAAGTAAGTTTTTAATTTAATAATAACAATGATAATTATAAGAAAACTTATATGACTAAATTATAATTTTTATCTCAAAGTTTGTTACCAATTTCTTCTTGAATTTTGGCTTGAATTTCTGGATAGTATATCAGATAAAGAAAACTCCAGTACAGACATGTTGACGCTGTTTCAAACCCTGAAAAATAAACGAGAAAACGGGTCATAGGAAAAAGTATCAGGATAATTAATATCCTCAATTTACTTCATATTCAAGTACTAAGAATTAGGGGAAAGGAATCTAAATATAACCATACATTCATAGAACCACAATAAAATAATTCTATACATTAGAGTTGATTTAAAAATATGCCATTGAGTAATCTCCAACTCATGGTGATCCATTTGTGTCAGAGTAGAACTGTGCTCCATAGAGTTTTCCGTGGCTGATTTTTTGGAAGTGGATTGTTAGGTCTTTCTTCTGAGGTGCCTCTGTGTAGACCTGAATACCCTGCCTTTCAGTTAGCAGCCCAGTGTCTTAATGGTTTGCACCACCCAGGGACTCCTTTAAAATATTAGTGTTATTTATCAGACATGTGAAAACATTGGTAACATTGCACTACATAACAAACATTATTGTTATGATAATAATGACTATATGCAATAATCACAATTATAATTATATGTAGTTATTAAGTGTTTGGAGCCCTGGTGGTACAGTGGTTAAGACCTTGGCTGCTAACCAAAACATCAGAAGTTCAAATCCACCAGCTGCTCCCTGGAAACTCTATGGGGCAGTTGTACTCTGTCCTCTAGGGTTGCTATGAATCAGAATCGACTCAATGGCAACAGGTATTAAGTGTTTACTCTGTTCTAGGATTTATATATATTTTCTCTAAATCATAATGCAGACATGTAAGGTATATATAATTATGCTCATTTTACTAAAGAGAAAGGCTGTGCCGCAGGTACATTATGGCCTTCGCTCAAGGTGACTCATCTCATAAGAGGCAGACCCAAGACTTGAACTTGCGTTTATTTGGCTCCAAAGGCCAGGAGTTTGTATAAGCACATAATGGAGGATTGAATAGACTCATATTTTTTAAATAATAATTTTTAGTGTACTTATACCATTGCTGTCGAGTCGATTCCGACTCATAGCGACGCTATAGGACAGAACAGAACTGCCCCATGAGGTTTCCAAGGAGCGACTGGTGGATTTGAACTGCCGATCTTTTGGTTAGCAGCCGTAGCTTGCCGTAGCTCTTAACCACTGCACCACCAGGGCTCTTGAATAGTTTAAAATTCTGAGATTATCTAAGATAATTTCATTTATTTCTGAGATTATCTAAGCATTGGTTAGATGTTTTGCATTACTGAATAAAAAACATAAAGCAAGGATTTCTATATATCAAATTTTATCTTTTCTCAAGGGCAACTCTAAGACTACATCAAAGAATGTGATCATTTCTTGAAAACCTAAAACTCAGAAATGCCACATTAAAAAGCTCTTTCTAGGATAGTGAGAATAGCAGCACAATTGGAAGAATGTAATCGATGTCACTGAATTGTACATGCAGAAACGTTTGAAATGGTATAACTTTGGCTATGTGTATTTTCACAAAAAAAAAAAAAAAAGGTCCTCCAACATTGAGAAGGGAGAGTGTTGACATGTTGTGGGGTTGTTAACCAATGTCATAAATATGTGTACTGACTGTTTAATGAGAAACTATTTGTTCTGTAAACCTTCATCTAAAGTACAATACAAAAAACATTAAAAAAAAAACAAAGCTCTTTCTGGTGGATGGTTCGACATTATAGGAAACATTCCTGATTTGCTGAAATAAGTTTGTTCAATTCTCTACTTTTCAGTCTTCCTTCTGTTCACTCACATACTACACTGTTTTCATTGTAAATTCACTTTTATGACTACCTAATGTCAAAATTAATAGTGTTATTCACTAAATGTTAAAAATATAGTAGAAAAATGTGTTTTCAATTCTATACTTTTTATTTCCAGGTTCTCATGATGGCAGTGACAACAACAATGATGAAGATATTTACAAAATATTGATCACTTAATTACACTGTCATTTAATATTCCAAACCCTATGAGATAGGGGCTATAATTATTCTTACTTTGGATATGAGAAACTTGCAGTGTAGAGATGGCAAAATAATTTGACTAAGATCATACAGGGGTAAAGCTAGTATCTGCACTCAATTCTGTAGCTCCACAACATTGGGGCTTAAATATTTATTTATTCTTTAAAAGGCTCGCGTCTAAACATATATAAGCACTATACTCAAGTTTAGCTTCAGACCAGAGGAATCTCCTTTCCAAGTTTCTCAGGTCCAGGTTTTCACCTTTTACACAGAGTATTCTCTTTAGTGAGGCTGTAGGTTCTACAGTTTCCAACTAACAAACTTTCTAACATTGACTTCATACTGCAAGAAATTACCCTAAAAGCAAGTTGCCCAAATGAAGTTGCTGATATGGTGTGAAAAATTGGATGTCTATGCAGCATGTGGAAACCCTGGTGGTGTAGTGGTTAAGACCTAGGGCTGCTAACCAAAAGGTTGGCAGTTAGAATCCTACTAGGTACTCCTTGGACACCCTATGGGGTAGTTGTACTCTGTCCTGTAGGGTCGCTATGAGTCGGAATTGACTCCATGGCAACGGGGTGTTTTTTTTTTTTTTTTTTTAAATGCAGAATATATTAACTCTATTCTCTAGCAACAGAGGGGAAAAAAAAAAGAAAATAGGCTATGGATAAATGTGGACTCAGATTTTGATCATCATTTATTTGGCTTTTTACATCAAGGCTTAAGCAAAACACTATTATCTACTTTGGTAGATTATCTAAATATTACTGAGATCATAAGCAGTGATTTGGGGAAAGCTTGACTGTATCCTAAGGGAAAACTAAATCATTTATATGATTATTTGGGAAGTTAAATATGGAAATGTAAATGCTAATAATATAGAAGCTCTGATTGAACAGAATGTTACAAATTGTATCCATTAAATACGTGGTTTATAGCTCACTATTTTATTCTAATAAACTATTCTATTCATCTCACTAGTGAGGTAGAAGACACATGTGGAAATTTATTGTTTTCTTAGTATTCATTAATACTCTTATTTGGATTCAAATACAAATTCCATCTGATATATTTATTGAGTGGATAAATGCTTTATACAGAAATGCGTTATCCTGAATACCTCTTTTCTGCACACATTCGAACTAAAAAAAATTAGCTGGGCTGCACACATCTGATGGTTCTCTGTATCCTAGTTCCCTCTGTGATCTGCCATAATTTCACATTTGCTGATTACTTGAGGATATTGACAGTATTATATATGTCTGTAATATATTTTGAGTTTATCTCATCAAATCAAGATGAAAATAAAGCCCTCCTGATGCCCACACATACCTGATACACAGTGGCATTCAAGCTTAAAAAAAAGTGCTCAAAAACCCTAACATTAATACTTAGCATCAGACAGTTGGCAGAAGAAAATGCTAAGTATAGCATGATCAAACTTATATGATAAATAACCAGTGCCGCCATCAAACTGAAATCATGATAAAAAATAAAACATAAACATATATACATATATATAATACATATGGTGCATTTGCATGCAACACAAATCAAAACAAATAACTTTGTTTACAAAGAACATTCAGGAACACAAATGCATAGATCCTAGAAAAAAATGAATCAGAGTGCCAATAAAGATGGTAAACAATAAAAAGAAAGGAAAACTAACAAGTTGGAAGACCATCTTACCTAAAATGAAACTGCTAAGACACCCTTAGCATTTTTGTTTGCTTGTTAGACTAAGGAAATTGGCTTCCTCCAGTCTAATACTTTATAGGAACCATAAGAAATATGATAGATAAAAATGAGTAGAAAAAGAAACTATAGAATTTAAGAATGATAGTAACGTGGTAGCAGTATAGACTTGTACAGTTCTTCTGAAAAAGAATTTGGCGATATGTATCAAAAGCTCAAAAATATTTTTATTAGTTGATCCAGAAATTCTGCTTCTGGATATTTACTCTAAGGCTGTAATTAAAAAAGAGGCAAAACTGATGCACAAAGATGGTCTCCTTAACATTAGCAAGATACTCAACGTCTGCATTATCTGTACAGGCCAGGACTTGCAAACAGTTTGGGTGTCCATCCTAGAGACAGCAGATGGCTAAAACATAGGGGGTGCATGCCATGGAGTATAATGCAACTGTTAGAAGTAGCAAATTAGTAATATACATGGCAACCAGAGTTGGATCTTAAAAACATAACGTTTCATGAAAAAAGTTAGAAACCGATTGAGATCTAAATAGCAACATTTACATAAACTAAAATGCATGATAATACAAGAACACATGGTAATACATGATAATATAAGTAAAGACCATTTCATAAGAATACATTCATGCAAACAAAGTAACACTATGAACACATTAAGAATAAATGCCAGTGGATTAGTGGAAGAAACTGGGAATGGATGTAGGGATAAAAGGTAATAGGCAACTAACTAACTCGCTAACTGAATAAATAAATCAAGCCCGTGATTTCATGGATCAATGATGTCAATACACCATGAAATGAGGACTATTATTAACTCAAGTTTCTACACCTGTGGTCAAAATAAAGTTTTTCAAATGACATAGGAAGAAGGCAGAATTCCAAATTGTCTACAGTATGAGCTCAACTATACAAAATGGCAAATACAAAAAGAAATACTATAAATAGTGGATAAAAAAAACATTGCAATGATTTTTGTCTTATATATTGATAAATGTTGTCATATACCAGCTCCAAATAGGTAACTCACGGTGCTTTTGATTTCATCATCATTTAAGGTGGCTGTTTTGGTAGCAGCACGTTTGTTGTGGCATATATTAATTAGAGCATCAGTAATGTCTCGGGTATGGTCCTGAGGAGACAAACCTTACCATGATTATTCACCTCTACCTATATGTCACATCACATATGAATTCCATGAAAGAAGAGCCAGAGACTCATGTAACTTGAAATGAACCCAATATTCTTATGGATATAAGTACATTGTTTTAAACCTTGCAAACGTTTTTGTTTGAAAAAAAGTAATGCTTGATCTTAAAAGAATGTAGACTAGAAAACCAAGCTACAGAACTCTTTCTTTTTTCTTTAAAAACATCTTTCAATCAACAGAAACAAGTGCCTTAGTCTATCAGCATACTTAGAAAATGTCAGTATTGACGTTAACACTTATAGAGAAATTATGTAGCATTTAATATAATACACCGTCTCCTCACTTATCAACATGGTTAAGTTCCAAAGAATGGTCATTATGCAAAATTGGTGTTATGTGAAAAGGCGGGATGACCACATCCAATCATAAAATGGAGGATGACTACATCATTATATAACTGCCAAATTACACCATTACATAACTACCAAACCACTGAGAATCATGGCCCAGCCAGGTTGATATAAAAACTTAACCATCAAAGCCAGCGTTACTCTTGCCTCATACCTCAGCATTCACTACTACTAGATGTACATTGTTAATGCCCAAAATAGTTGGATAGTAGATTTTTTACTATTATCGAAAATGCAAAATGTCAGATAACGAGATAGTAAGTGAGGAGAAGGTGTAAAAGTTTTCTGAATCTATTGTGTGAGTTTTACTGTCATCATAGGGAAACAGATGGGGGAGGGGGTAGATTAGGGAATGAGAAGAAAAGTTTATGAACTCTTACAAATTCATATACTTATTGTACCTGATCTAGAGTTCCTGGCTGTACCTTAAAACAGATTATCTTCCTCTTTTTTCATTGGAGGGGACTTAACGCTCACACCTCTTTATTTGCTCAATTACCACCTTGACATCTATCTTTTCCTGGTATATTTTTTCCTATTACTCTCACCTTAGTTGATTTGGTCCAAAGAGCTAGCATTCTTTCTGGCAGATACATATCTCATTAGGGTCATTTATTCTTCTAGGGACCATCAAATTGGGCAAAAATCATGTGAACGACCTCATAGGAAAAGTCTGCTTCTGCCACCTGTAGAACCTTACTACATGTTTTGTGATCTCAAGATTCATTTCTATATAGTAAAGGAACTCAGGTAGGAGATGTAGGCATAATGGAAGTTGTTGAAAAAAAAATACTGATTTTTTTAAGTTCAAGACTTCATAATTTCAGATATACTTAATGGTGCAAAATGAAGAGACAAAATAGTTGACTCATTTCTTCAAGGAACCCATCTACATTTGGGTAATCATTTATCAGTTGATTACAGATTCATAATTCATGCATGTTCTCTCAGAACTGGGGAAATTTCTGAGGTTTCAAAGACTTTAGAGTTATCCTAAAGATCCCTACATGAGAACTGAGTATAACTGTGCAATAGTCCTATTGACTAGAGCTCAAGTTTACTAACAGCATGGGTAAGTTTCACTGTGGCAAAACTATACTGAAATGATCCAAGGTAGAATACAACCTCCTGCGTACTCGATGCTTCTCACCATTACAAAACCCGTGTTTCGTATGAATTTAAATCCTTACCTTATCATATATAGAAAGATGATCTCGTACATGTAGTGCAATAAATCGATTTAGGGCTTGATAAAATTCCCAGGAAGCATTTATAATCTGTAGTGGAAGGTGGCAGAAAAACGGTATGAAATTGGCAGGGTTAGCTGCACTGGAGGCTTTCAATAGCTCATCATTTGTTTTAAATATCTTAAGAAACTCCTCATCATTGTGTTCATATCTTTTGCCAAAGCAAAAGGCACAGACAACATTGGCCACCGCACAGGTGATCACACTTCTGGGGTCAAGGCTGCCCCTCTTGGAAGTCAATTCTGCGAAGACTTTCACCAGCTCAGAAACTTCCTCGGTGATATGTTTCTCAAGCAGGCAAGAGCAGGTTGAGGATTTTGCTTCTGTGTTGGAAAAAGTTCTTAAAGCATTAGAGGAGATTTTCTTATGAATCTTCCAACTTTCTCCGCAATTGACTGAAAATGAAAGACTCTTTGCTTCTGCCAGGACAGAAAAGGTGTGCATATTAGGTCTGCCTGCAAAATTCTCTCCATCCTTGAGCAGTACTTGCTTCACCATTTCCATTCCATTCACCACCACAGCAGGCACCATTCCCAATTTGATAAGGAAGACATCTCCATATTTCTTCCTCATCTCCATAAATGTCAGGTAAGGATGAGCTCCAAGCTGGGGGAGATTTCCAACGATGGGGAAGGACCACGGGCCAGCAGGAGACACCTGCTTTCCACCCCTGCTCCCTAATGCTCTTACAAACACAAAAACTATCACCAAAATTATGAGAGAAGTAGTCACCTCTCCAGGAGTGACTGCCAAGTGGAATATCATCTTCAGAAATAAAGCTCCTAAAACAGAAAAATGTAAACCTTATTTTTGTAGTTTTAAGCATAGACAAAATATATTTTCTCCCTTGAAACATTTAGAAGCAAAGTAGAGACTCTTTGGAGGGTGTCGAAAGTCATTCTTCACTGACCACGAAGAAGGAAAAATCAAATTCTTGTAAAACACATTGCGTCTTTATCTCAGTTCTATTCTTCTCACAACTCTAACCACCAAACTTAAATCTTCCATGTAAGTCATTGACCACAGACAGAAGAGGAGGGAAGCTCAATGTAGAAAGCAACGTGGTGCTTTAGAAAGGGATTGAGATTATACAGGCTGATTTCATACTCATTAGCTGGAGACCTTCATCCTGTCGCTTACACTCAGAGCATCCCAGTTTTCTCATCTAAGCCTCCTGCCTCACAAAATTAGCTACAACTTCTTCCAACAAATATTTACTCAACTCCCTTCCCACGTCAGGCACTAGGAATATAAAATAAAATTCCACAGACTATTTCACAGTACTATTAAGGAGCCCTAGTGGTACAGTGGTTAAAGCACTTGGCTGCTAACTGAAAGATCAGCAGTTCAAACCCACCAGCCACTCTGTGAGAGAAAGATGTGGCAGTCTGCTTCCATAAAGATTACAACCTTGGAAACCCTATGGGGCAGTTCTACTCTGTCCTATAGGGTTGCTATGAGTCGGAATCAACTTGATGGCAATGGGTCTAATGAGGAAACTAAATAAACAAAAATGATAATACAATGTGGAGCATTCTATAGGAGAATTGGATACAGAGTGGTCTCTCACTGTTTGAGGTTCAAATGAGATAATTATAAAGAAAGTACTTGGTGAATTATAAGTCATTTAGGGACTATCTAATTCATTGTCTGCCTAGCCCCTCTGCCGATGGACTTCCCAGCCTATTTATAAGAATGACTCTCTGAAGCTGTCTTTCTGCTCCATGACCTGTCCATCTAGACACAGGTGACTGATCCAAGGATGGGTCACTGGCCCAAGAGGAACCTTTCTTGGGAATATGGAACTGGGTCTGTGGAAGGTCATCCTTTCTTTGGGCAGTTTAATCTATTAAATGTAAGTTCTGAAGACGATTTGGGGACATTTTACCTACTGGTAGACCTGAGAAACCATTAAAGCTTGTCTGAAAAACAAATGAAGCAGAAAGAAATGTAAATAGAAGACAGTGAGAAACCTTGTGACTTTTCATTTACTGTTTCTAGTATCTTCTTGAGACCTAGGAGCACTCTGGTCCTTGGGTTGAATTCTTCTTTCTTGCTTAAGCTACTTAGAATTGGCTTCTGTTACTTTCAACCAATAGGGTCCTAACTAAAAAAAAAAAAAAAAAAAGTCTCATACGTATGCAGAATATTTTGGTTAGCTGGTGGTTTACTGGTAGAATTCTCCCCTTCCATTCTGGAGACCCGGGTTTGATTCCTGACCAGTGCACTGGCCAGCGCACCTCATACACAGCCACCACTCATCTGTCAGTGAAGGATTGCATGTTGCTGTGATGCTGAACAGGTTTCCGTGGAGCTTCCAGACTATCACTAAGAAGAAAGGCCTGACGATCTGCCGAAAATTAGCCAATGAAAACCCTATAGATCACAATGGTCTGATTCTGTCCTGCATGGGTCACCATGAGTTGGCAGCTGACTCCACTGCAGCTAACAACATAGAATACAGAATATTCTCTCCCTTAAAAGAAAACACTACTAAACTATTCGTATTTCTTAAGTTATTTACCGGGGTAATATTGGTGGGCGGTATACTCATTGGTCAATGTAAACACTTCTTTGACTTTTGAGAAAATTTAAAATATATATATACCTTAATAAATTGAGAAGCATTCTGGCAAGCAATAATGAATTTGTCTTTCAGGTTAGAAGAGCGTGATGGACTGGTAAAAACCCCTACACTTATGTTCTACTATAAATAGCACCAAGGGTCAATGGAATGTTTATCTTAAAGTTTTAGCATAAACAGCTCCCACTCTCAGTTTGCAAGCAGGCCTTGTCCTCTGCTTTATCTGATTGTTTCACCTTCTAAAATCAATGTTGGAGTTAAAATTGAGAGATCAGCTTTTTTTTTCATGGAAAAATAAAACTGAGTATGCATTTAAGTTAAAAAAAGCAAAACAAAACAAAAAAATGAAAAACAACTAAATCTCCAATCAAAACAACAGCTCCAATTTGCCAAATGTCACTATTGTCTCTGTTCAGTAAACAGAGTGAGGACTTCATGGTGTTGCTTGCTTTCCAGCATGCTGATTTTGTAAAACTTCTTCTGTTAATAGTAGTAACTACTGGCATTTATTGCACTCTTCCCATGTGCCAGAAACAGTGCTAAGCACTAAGTCTGCACATCTTCTTAAATGCATACCTCTGTGAGGTAATACATATATCATCCTGTTATAGAAAGGCTCAGAGATATAAAGTCATTTTCCCATGGATTCCCCCTTTTCTTTTTTTTTTTTAGCTTAATAATAAATCACCAGTTATTTACCTCTGTTGTTGTAGTTTGTTGCCATGGAGTTGATTCCAACTCACTGGACCCCTGTGTTACAGAGTGCAACTACTTGGATGTAATCTTAATGGGAAAAGATCACTAGGCTTTTTCTTCCAGGGTAGCACTGGGTAGGTTCCAACTACCAATCTTTAGGTTAGCAGTCCACTGCAAACTGTTTGGGCCACCGAAGGACCTTGTTTACCTCTAGTACTTGCTTTTTTTTTTTTTTTTAAAGAAGAAGATTGTTTTTATTGTCGCCATTACCAAAGAGATATCAGACCAACCATAAAGGTACACTTCCATGCTTCCCCTAAGAGAGTTTTGAAGCAGAAAATACAATAATAGGGTTTCCATAAGACAGATTCAAAAAATTCATGGCAATCACAGTTTCGTGACTTGAAGAATGCAGACATTAGGAGAACTCAAACTTTACAAGATAATCTAAACTTGGATAAAGGGAAATATTGGGCAACTATACTACCTCTCAATAATTTCTGCATTCCATTGGATCATCTTTCTTTGGAATAGGCATATTCCATAGACGAGTGGGCACTTCTAGTGCTGCATCTGTTTGAAACATTTCAATTGGTATTCTGTCAGTTCCTGGAGACTTGTTTTTCTTCAATGCCTTCAGTGCATCTTAGACCTCTTCCTTCAGTACCACTGTTTCCTGATTATATTCTACCTCCTGAAACGGTTGAATGTCAACCAATTCTTTTTGGTACAGTGACTCTGTGTATTCCTTCTATCTTCTTTTTTTTTTATTTATTGTACTTCTCTAGTACTTGCTTTTTTATAAAATTCAATTTCTCTTGGGCACACACCAAAATTGCTAGTCTGCGCATCAACAATCAGAGTCGTTTCCAAGGCAGAGTACTAAAGCAGGTAAGAAGTGGATATAGCTGGAAGAACACTGGACACTCAGGAAAGATGACTGGGTTTCGCTACTCTCTCTTCTTTTTAGCTATGGGATGTTGGTTAAGTTACAATCTCTCTTGACTTCAGTTTCCCCCCTTGGAAACTGATCACGTCAGCCTAGAAGATGTCTAAGGGTCCTGCCAGTTTAGTTTGCTGTACTCAGAGCTAGAGAGAAGGCAGGGTGGAAGGCTGAGAGTGATGTACAGGAGTAACTGCCCAACAATATTATTTTACAAGAGTCCGCAGAGCAGTTAACAGCTCATCAGCAAAGTAACTATGCCATCAGCCTGGGCCATTCCCATTTCTCGCATTAAATTATCTTTGGCAGTTTACTAGGCACAGATGCCTTGCCAACTTTCTCAGCGACCTTCTTGGAAAGCACTGAAGGCACATTCTGTTCCTGTTTTGGGGTGAACTAGGACTGAGGATACGGGGTGTAAGGCACCCTGAATGTGGGCTGCTACCCTGTTAGAGATTCAAACTGAACCCTCACGTCTTTAGAGGAGAGCCAGGTGAGAAGAATATTATGTAGCTGGAAGGTTTTTGTACTGATTCTCAAGCCCATTTGCACATTAAACCTGCCGGGAACTATTAAACAATAATAACGCCCAAGTCCCAAACCCACTGATTAAATCAAAATTCTAGCGATGCATATTGAAAAACTTCCCAATGGGTGTGAGGGGAATTCCGGATTGAGGACCTTTTTAGTGGAGAACAACCTGCCAGGATGATCAGCAAACAACCTCAACAGATCCACTCAGCCAAATTACAATGGAACTTGGAAGGCTCACCTGTGCCCGGAAATCTTGCTAGTCAGTGCGAGGAATCTGGCGGAGGGATCTAAAGACAGAGCAGGTTTTTGGAAAAAGGTGGCTGTATCCTAGGGAACAGAACCAATCTCGGCCACAGCATCAACCGGTCCCAGAGCCTCCCTTCCGAGAAAGGCCAGGAGAAAGTGGCTGCTTCTTGCCTTATATCCAAACAAAAAGCGATGGCGAGGGTGGGCCTTGGACCAGTGTGAGGAGGAGTCTGGAGCTGGACCAGGGCTTTGGAAGCAAGAGAGAGGGATGGAGAGGCCTCTGAGGCTAGAACTGGGTCTGGGAAGCTGGGAAATGCCGGTGTGAGTGAAGAGAGACGGATCACATCTGAAGCAGGGTCTCTGAAGGAGAGAGTAAGATGGAAACTGATCTTTGAATAAAGCAGGGAGAGAGAGGAAAGATGAAAGGACAATCATTTAAAAAGAACTGGTGACAGAGGTGGAGTCGAAAGATATGTAGCAAGGAAGCAACAAACAGCGAAGGAAAAAGACGGAGCAGCGTTCAGAGAAGTTGCCGTGAGTTTTAAATGTCCTCTCTCTCAAGTGCTGCGGGCCTTTTGTACCAGGAAAATGGGCACAGCCACTGATCCCAGCAAGCTGAGGAGCGAGGAGGTGGAGGCAAATAAAATATAAACAGTGCACAGGCTTAACTTTCTCCTGGGGTTTGGTAAATTCCTCGGTAGTCTTCCCCAGATGATACGCATTGCCACAACTAGAGTTTGCTTTGGTGTGAGAAAAGTCCTG